CTCTTTGCATGCCATTAAGGCTGAAAAACCATTTACCTCAAAGTTGTTACACGAAAGCTCTTGGCTTGGTAGATGAAGGGAAATAAGAAATCGAAAATATAGGCTAGCACCAACCGCATATTACTTATTTCTAAATATTAGTAACCAATCGCGAGGTAGAATTGCTCAGTCATTTGGATTCTAATTCTCTAATTATTCATTTTACAGTTCAGCCACACCGTCCATCATCAAAAGTAAATGTGATCGCTGACACCATGAATTTTCATGATTGTCGTACGGTTCATTCACGCTGCCAGCCGTACTATCATTCCCTTCACCAGTCAAAGTCCTCCTTCCTTCCAACCTCAACTTGCATCAATCAATCAGTTTCGACGACCACTTATCCTTTCAGGTGGAGCACGCAGATGAGTCAGACAATGTCTATGAAGTCCTCGACCCTATGCTGAGGTTTGAGCTTCGGCAGAAGCTAACCCAAGTCCATAGCAGAGTCCTTCAATATACTTGGTTGTTCTCGGGATCTTCAGCCGGTCGATTGGGCAAGTTGCAGTTGTTAGCCACAAAATGCCTTTTTCACTTAAAGCTTTAAACAATTCACATTTGATTTCATTGATTCTTGCAGCCTTGTCACTTTCAAGGTTTAATAGCTTCCGTGACTTCGTCTGCTGAAAGACTACTATCCTGGTCTGATGTTCTTCAAGCGAGTTTTCCTGCGGTTGAATATGATGAAGAACTTCCTCAATGCACACTTGCCAATTATGTGATCTTCCGTGGTGAGAAGGTGTCCTTGTTTGTCCTTCAGGACTTTTAGACTTTCCTTCTATCCATCCCAAAGTCGGCGAATGGTTCCCCACAACACCTTCTATGCTGTCTGAAAATTCTACTCCAACACTTAACCGAAATTTTCCCAGCCCTCGCTTTAGTTACTCATTTCGCCTCCATCCCTGCGTGCCTTTTCTTAGAGCATTCGAATTGAGGGCTATTTGCCTCACACCACGTCTAGAATGCAACCTTCCTCTGACAGCCACTTTAGCCTCTCCTGTCCACCTGGTTGCTCACTTCTGACTCTCAGGCGGCAGGCCAGCCCGTTTCACTCAGCAGCATTTTGCGGCAGCTCCAAACACTCGGTTTTTATGTCAGCTCCCATCATTGGAATTATTTATAACCGTCGTGCGAGATATTTTTGAAAGCTTTGTCCTCCTGTCCACGAAAGATAATACTTCCGATTTGATTTTCTGGTTGCTTCTGTCGCCAGGTCTTTGCATGGTACACCCTCATGTATAACGAAGAGCGCCAACAGCGACGTGAAGATCGGATGACAATTGGCTCTATTAACGTGAAAAAAGAGTCGCAATTCAGACGATAGGATTATTGAGTCAATCTTCGACTTTTGTGATGCTCAATTCGATGCTCGAAGGTGTTCATTGCAGGTCGCCACTGTTCGCACAAAAGAGCAAAATCTTCATGACAGTAATTGGGCTCTAGGACTGCTTTTTCCAATCACGCCTTTTCACTATCCGATGCTCGTTCCGATATGTGCACTGAAATCGACCATCAAAATGATAGATTCCGCGGTACGGCACCTCGTACAGAGAGGACTCTCCCTCACGTAAGAGGGTCAAAGCATTAGCTTGTCGTAGCCTCAGTCCGAGGACTGACCTTCTTGCGTTGGTAGGCTTCCATTCAATGATTCTGTCAGCCAGATTGAATCTATCAACACCGGCCTGAGCGAGTATCGTACAGTCGACACCTGAATAAAATAGCCTCCACCCGCAGACGTTCTGGATTCCAGAGACTTGGTG